AAGCCGGAAAGAGGAGAGTAGCCGAAACAAGCAAAGTGATCGCGATGGGTTTAGGAAAGGTGATCTGGCGTGCTAAATGGCGTTTCCGGAGAAATCCGAAAACGATTGCTTTACAAAAGTATACTAAAGAGCTGCCCTGGGTCTGGAAACCCCTTAAGGGATCAAAATGGATGCAATGGGTATCCTTCTCCAATGACACCCCTCACGGGCCGGGAGCCTGGCAGTTCGCCACCCGCTGCCTCCCTTTCCGCAGCCAGGCTAGCAGCCGCTCAGCTACCTCTAAAGCCCGGAGCAGGGAAGTCCGCGCAGGCCTGGACGCCCCGGGTGGTATCCTGCCTTCCCGCACACTGCGCATGCGCAGGGGGTGGACTGCCAGGTCGGCTCAGGGAGCCGTGACGAGTCCGGAAGCGCCTGCGCGCGCTCCTCGGTACGCGAACTAGTTTTGTTCCGTGCCCTCTGAACTGGAACCTTTCGGAGAGAACCCCCGGCAGGACCAACCCCGCACCCGCCAGCACCGCGGCAATGTCCAGCAACAGTTTTTCTTACAATGAGCAGTCCGGAGGAGGGGAGGCGACGGAGCTGGGTCAGGAGGCGACCTCAACCATTTCCCCCTCGGGGGCCTTCGGCCTCTTTAGCAGCGATTTGAAGAAGTGAGGAGAAAGGTTTGGGGTACGGGGATGGGAGGGAGGAGCTGGGGACTCGGAGGAGTGGGCGCCGGGTGGGCTCCCTGGAGTGGAGCGGGGTCGCCCTGAGATCTGAGCAGAGCTGGGCGGTAACGTGTCCCACTGGTGGGTGGGTGGGGTTGGTTGGCGGTGGTGGGAGTTGGGGGAGTTTGGGGCGTGTGTGTGTAGGGGTCTCTAGTAGTTTTCAAACTTTAGTGAAAAGGAAACCGCTTGGTGAGCTTAGATCCCACCCCTGAAGACACTGATTGAATTGGACTTGGTCTGGGCTCAGGAGTCTGAATTTTGAGCATGGTCTTCTAAGTTTATTTATCGTTCGCCGGATCAGACTTTGATACATTCCCTGATTAGGGTGAAACGAGTGTTTTGGTCAAGGTGAGAGTGCGAGTGTTGCTTGTGGGAAGTTATTTTGTGACCCCGGAGTGTAGGAGGAGAGAGGTGGGTTTAGGCTGTTTGAATGGACAAACTGGTTTATACCAGTATCAGTGTTCTTGGATTATATCCTTTGCACTACAGACAAAAACACCAATCCAAAATAAGCATATGAATAGAAAATATTTTAAGAGTGTTACTATGAACAAATCCTAAACTTTTACAAATTAATAATGTGAAGTTTAAAAACGAATGTTAAACAAGGTACACTTAGTTTTGTAAAAAGTATCACCGAGAAATGGAAAGAAATCCCAAGTTGTTTGTTTGGGGGGTGGGATGGTGGTATTGGGGTGGTGGTAGTGGTTAAATTTACCAGAATTATCAGTTTTACGTTTCTCTTATTTTAAATCTTTCATTACTAAGCAATATGGTCACATAATAGTCTGTCGCTAAATTCATGCTAAATTAAGGTAGAATAGCTGTGCTGGTAGCTTTGCAGATATGTTAGAGGGTATAATTAAAATTTAAATTAAACGTTACTAACAATATTGGGTAGTCTAGAAAGTGCTACTACTTGAAATTGGGATTACATTTTGGCTGTATTGAGGATCAAAATCATATAGATAGTACGTACGATACAATATTTTCGTTTCCTTTTTCCCAGGTTAGAAAAGTTTAAAAGTAAGGTAACTTTTCATTTTCATTTCATATAATTTTTCATTATATGCATTTGGTGATCCATTGTTCTAGAGCAAGAACGGAGCTTGTTGCCTTTACTGTTAGCAAAATGTTTAGACTGAATTAACCTGTAAATTGGCATCAATCTGTTTTGCAAATTAATTTACTTTTATGGTTTGTGAACACCCCGTGAGGGGTGTCATTGGAGAAGGATACCCATTGCATCCATTTTGATCCCTTAAGGGGTTTCCAGACCCAGGGCAGCTCTTTAGTATACTTCTGTAAAGCAATAGTTTTCGGATTTCTCCAGAAACGCCATTTAGCACGCCAGATCACCTTTCCTAAACCCATCGCGATCACTTTGCTTGTTTTGGCTACTCTCCTCTTTCCGGCTTTTCTCTTAGATTTTTGTCAGATTTGGGGTCAGGCGCGGCAGCTCTCGGCTATAATCTCAGCACTTTGGGAGGCCAAGGCGGGCGGATCACTTGAGGCCAGGAGTTCGATACCAGCCTGGCCAACATGGTGAAACCCCGTCTCTACTAAAAATACAAAAATTAGCCGGGCGTGGTGGCTCGTGCTTGTAATCCCAGCTGGAGGCTGAGGCAGGAGAATCGCTTGAACCTGGGAGGTGGAAGCTGCAGTGAGCCGAGATCGCGCCACAGCACTCTAACTTTAGTGGGTGACAGAGTGGGACTCTGTCTCAAAAAAAGAAAAAAAAAAAAGGAAAAAGATTTTTGTCAAATTTTGACCTGATTTGGAAAAAAAACCCAAAAAACTTATGGCCATTGACTCTGTGACCAGTGCTCTTGAGGTGACCTAATAGGTTGGATTTTAAATAAAAGTAGCTAATTGATTAGAGGTGGTATGTAATATATGCAGATAACCATGGTTGAATTGTGTTCCCCAAAAGATATTTATTGAGTGTTTGTGACACCACTTTACATTTATTATCTCATTCAGTTTTCTTAACAACCCTGCAAATTATTACCAGCTGCTCCCACTTTACACGTGAGGAAATTGGAGCGTGATCGTTAACTTGGGAAAGGCCGCAAAGCTAGAACATTGCACTGCCTGAATTTGAACTCAGAGGCTCTAATATTAGAGCCCATTCTCTCAAAAGTTTCGATGTCTACTTACTACTTGATGAAATGTATGGTATTTTTATTAGTGAGCGCATACAACTCACGAAAGCTTTAAAACTTTAAATAGCTGTAAGTAGTACCACCAGAGAAGCTTCCAAGGATTAGAAACATTTGGCTGTTGACCTACAATCTAATGGAATTGTACAGAAACAAGGAGACCCCTGTTCTGGAAATGGTCATTAAATCTCTCTTGAGTCCACATTTTCTCATTTATAAAACTGTAATATTACTTGCCTTTTAAAAAAATCGAATGACAAAATTTATGTAAAAAACTTGAAGCTCACCCTGTTCCTCAGCTCTGGTTTTTAATGGTTTACTCTGATGAAATAATTTCAAGTTTACAAAAAAGTTGCAACAATAGCACTGAGAGCAACCCTTTTGCAGATTTACCAATTTAAAAAATTGCTACATTGCTTGCGTACTGTCTCTGTCACTCACTCTCTCCATGCATATTCAGGCACATATACGTATTCATGTTATGTGTCTTCTGAACCATAGGAGACTCGGTTGTACACATCATGTTCTTTTTTTTTTTTGAGACGAGTCTCGCTCTGTCCCCCAGGCTGGAGTGCAATGGTGCGATCTCGGCTCACTGCAAGCTCCGCCTCCTGGGTTCACGCCATTCTCCTGCCTCAGCCTCCCAGGTAGCTGGGACTACAGGCGCCCGCCACCACGCCCGGCTAATTTTTTGTATTTTTAGAAGAGACGGGGTTTCACCGTGTTAACCAGGATGGTCTCAATCTGCTGACCTTGTGATCTGCCCGCTTCGGCCTCCCAAAGTGCTGGGATTACAGGTGTGAGCCACCACGCCCGGCCCCTACATCATGTTCTTTTACACTTAAAATCTCAATGTGTAACTTTGAAGAACAAAGATAGTCTCTTACGCAACTTACAGTGTTGATGGATTCAGGAAATTTAATGTGTGTACAATCTATAGTATGTAATCTAATTTTATCGTTTGTTCCAATAAAGGTGTTTTCTTTTTTCCCAAGAATTTTTTTCCTCAAGTACAGGATCCAGTCCAAGATAATATATTTAATTTAGTTGCCATGTCTCTTTAGTCTTCTTTAATCTGGAGTAGTTCTTGAGCCTTTTTTGTCTTTCACGACCTTGACATATCTAAGGATTGCAAGCCTATTATTTTATTTTATGTTAATCAATTTTTGGATTTGTTGGTGTTTCCTCATGTTTAGATTCAGGTTATGTATCCTTGGCCGGAATACTACCATAGGTGATGCGTGCTTCTCAAACTATTACATTTGGAGGCGTAGGGTGTCCATCTTCATGATGTTAATTTTCCTAGTCACAGGGTTGTCCAGTTTCTCTATTGTATCATTTCTATTTTTTTTTTTTTTCAAATTATCTGTGGGGAGACACTGAGACCATGCAGATGTCTTGCTCTTTTTTAAATTGACCACTTCTACTTTTAACAACCATTGATCAATCTCCTGAACCTGTCTTCCTCAATGGCTGCAAAATGGTAATGTTTCAGCTGCAACTCCCTCTACTGTTGTGCTCTTTGGCTTCTTGGCCTAGAGCTCTGTGTTCTCTGATCCTTCACTAACCATCTCAATGATGCCTAGGTACTTCCTAGTCATAGTATTAGATTTTTGTTTTATGAATTTAATCTTATTTATCAGTATTATTTATCCTCTCCTCCCTTCAAACAGAACCAGAACTAGATGACTTTATGAAAGTAGATCCTATACCTCATTTATTGACTAAAAAGGCCTGTGTATTAGATTATTTGCTTCAAGATTTTTAATGTCTTTATTCAAAATGTAAAGAACTTATTTTTGTACTCTCATTTTTTATTTTTTGAGACATGTCTTACTCTGTTGCCTAGGCTGAAGTGCAGTGGTGCAATCATGGCTCACTGCATCCTCAACCTCCCGGGCTCAAGTGATCCTTCCCACCTCAGGCTTCTGAGTGGCTCAGACTACAGGTGCATGCCACCATGCCCAGCTAATGTTTGTATTTATTGTAGAGATTGGGTCTTGCCATGTTGCCCAGGCTAGTCTTGAACTCCTGGGCTCAAGCAATCCGCCTGCCTCATTCTCCCAAAGTGCTGGAATTACAGGCGTGCACCACTGTGCCTGGCCCCTTCCTTCTTTTCAAAATGTTCTCAACTTCTATTGTTTCTGTTTTTTTCTAAGTTATTTTTCTTCATTAAAAAAACAGACTTCTTTTATCTTAACCAATTTGGGTATGTGTGCGTATAATTAAAAATAATTTTAATAATTCTATTACTGGATTAAACATTTAATTAGGAATTAATTTCTAGAAACAAACAGACAAGACTAGTTAATTTTTCTTAATTACAATAGTAAAGCTACTAAAGTTGTAAATCACTTTTCTTTTAAGAGCATCATGGTGTATTAGAAAGAACATGAGGCTGGGAGTGGTGGCCCCTGCCTGTAATCTTAGCATTTTGGGAGGCCCAGGCAGGAGGATTGCTTGAACCCAGGAGTTCCAGACCAGCCTGGGCAACATAGTGAGACCTTGTCTCTATAAATAAAAACGGGGAAAAAAACCAAAAAACACTGGGCCCAGAGTCAGAAGACCTGGATTTAAGTTGATGTTTTCCACTCGTAGTAGTGCTTCCTTGTTCAAGTTGCTGATCTCTTCAAACTTCGGTTTCCTCATTTCTAGACAGGATGTGATAATACTTGCCTCTTTTGTGAGGATCTCATAAGATGGTGTACTTCAAAGTGATTTCTAAACTAGGGTATTAACTAACAGTATTTGGGAAAGTTGGTGAAGACTTCACTGAGGTAG